CGATCGCTCCACTTGATCTACTGCTGAAGCTATCGGCTGAACTGCGGGTGAGTAGTAATTAATTAATTCTGTTTGTTTGTTTGTTGGCGAGTGGCTGTCAGTCAGCTTCCCATAATCCAATCCTTCCCCTCCCTCGGCTGTTGTGACACGCGGCTTGGTTCTCCTCCGAATTGGACCTCGCCAGCTTTCCTCCGACGATCATCATAACATCAGCGTCAACAACATCATCATCATCATCATCATCATCATCGATCGTCATTATTCTTCCAACCTTTCATCCCAATTAATTCACCCGTTATCTGTCGGAGACTTATCTTGATAGAGCTGGGTGTTCTCTGCAATGCGCGTGTGGCCTCGCTGACCAGCAAAAGCCACCATTCTCAAACCCCGATGCTGCAGGGTCTCCAAACTTTAATGCGAGAATCATCATGCAAGGCTGACCCTATTCATCAACCCTCCCATTTACTCCCTCCCCAACGGCCTTGGGTGAGATCACTTCAAAGACACCAGCGTCTTCGAAGCCCGATTTATTCCCCCGTGAGTGGGATCTACACAGAATGGTCCAATCGCTGGGTCTGCCCGTGTGCTCCAGGCGCTTGTATACATGGTGCTTCACCATGTTTTGCTTGGGGCTCCTGGCTCTACTGTACATCAGACTGCTGAAGGATGATCTCACCTTAGTTCTGAGTACGATTCCACCCCCAAGCTCGGAATTGATATCACCAGGGTAGCTAACGCTATGCAGGTCGAGTCGAGAAACATCCGGCCAGGCACAAACCGAACGCACTGGTTCTGGCCAAAACTAGCTCTGAGGATGTCGCCTGGGCCTACGCTCTCAAGCCCCAGTAAGTGTACTAGACTCAATTCCTCCCGGTCGAATTCTTGTCACGGTATGCTCACTAGTTGGAAAGTTGGAAACCTTACATCTACACCTCCGACAAAGAGCCTGGATACCGTCCTATCCCGGCAAACAAGGCCCGCGAGGGCATGGCATACCTGACCCACATCATTGAACACTACGACTACCTTGCGGATGTTACGGCTTTCATGCATGCCTCCGCCACTCAGTGGCATAACGATGTTGGCGACATGGCTTCATCTTCCCTGCTCCAAAAACTCAGCCTGGACGCCGTGAACAAGGCTGGGTATGCGAATCTCCGCTGTGAGCACCGCCCAGGATGTCCCGTGGCCGTGCGTCCCTTTGATCCAGCCATGGAGTCGAATCATAACGTGGTGTATCGCAACTTCACCTCTATCTACATGGACATGTTCTCCGTGCCGCGGGACCAGGTCCCTACCGAGATCGGTGGGGTCTGTTGTGGTCAATTTGTACTAACAAGGGACCGGATCCGGGAACGGCCACGAGATGACTATGTGCGAATACGCGACTGGGCTTTGGCGACCGATATGGATAGTTTTGCGGCGGGGTCGGTCTTTGAGATGCTCTGGCATATCATCTTCCTTGAGCAGCCTGTTTCGTATGTGCTGCGAACTCTATCTGATGCAATATGGAAAAAATGCTGACTCGATATACCAGATGCCCCGATGTCCAACAGTGTTATTGTGAGCTTTACGCGATGTGCCCAGAAATCGATGCTGGCTCTTGAGTCACGACATCTTTGGCACTTTGTTGGGCCAAATTCCTGCATAAGCTGAGTCAGGTCTTATGGCTCCTTCTGGTGCGACCGTAAATACTAGGCTGACAGCGTAAGTATGCGTGTGAGCCTGTTGCGGCTGATTCATCACCGGCCAGTGTGATATCACTACACAGCCGCGCAGGATTCAGATGTCGGGCCTAACTGGTGTCCTGACCGCTCCATACAGCCTCCTGCCCCTGCAATATGTCAGCGCGCCTGCCTCGCCTTGCAAGTCTTCTTATTCTGCAGCGTATGGGCAAGCTGATAGATAGATGGTGGACAGAGGCATTGTCCTCTCAGGTAGTTTCTCCGTGTTTCGTATGCGAGCCGAGACTGCCGGCTGCTCATTATCGGTCACCCTTCTGCCCGACTTCCGGCCTCGTATCAATAAAACCTTGTGCTTATGTGGTGACTAAGGGCTAGCAAAGGAACATTGGCTGATTTTGGAACGGTGATCATTGCAGCCAACAAAGCACCCCCAACGAAGGCGATGCAGGATAGACAGGGATGCGGTCATGTCTCAGATGAAGCCCGACGGGCGAGATTCTTATCCGTCGATTAACAGGAGAATTTGGAGGGGTAGAGGGGGAGATGTGACTCTGGTTGGTGATAAGGAGATGCATGCGGAGGAAGGAATGTATGTGGAGTTACAGCCGCGGAAGGCGTATTGGGGAGAGATCTGAGAATGACTTCTATATCTGTCGGCGCCTCTGAAACCCATCAGATCCCCCGGAATGAGCGTACCCCTTGATAAAATGGCATCTTTCCCATTTCTTTTCCCGCCGATCCGAACCGCGAATTGACTTAGTGCACACCGCTACCCCTTACATTTCCTCGATTTTTCCCCAAGAAAACCGGCCAAGGACATTGCACCAGTCCTTGGTATGCCCCTTGGTCCTGTTTACCACGGTATCACCCACCTTTACGATTCACGTCATGGCTCCTCCAGTCATATTCACGGCAGCAGTCTTGTTGACGCTGCCCAACCAACTCGCAGCCCTACACCAGAACCCTGGGAACATCTCCACCCCCGCAGCGGCCAACAATGGCGCGCTGCCGAGAGCCCTTGCATCCTGTCTAGGAGCCACTGGCGCCTCCGTTGTGTACGCCACGGATGCTGGGTACTCGAATCTCACGGTGGCAGACAACAGCAACTATCACCCTCATCCTCAAGCTGTTGTCATTCCAAATTCAACGGAACAAGTTGCTGCTACTGTTCGCTGCGTGGCAGCCGAGCAGGGTCGGGTCACTCTCACGACCCGTGGTGGTGGCCATGGCTATGCTGCGTACAGTCTTTCAGGACAAGTCGTCATTGACTCCAGCCAAATGACCGACATTGCCCTGGACGAGAGCACGCAGGAGGTAACCGTGCAAATGGGTCAGAAGCTTGGCCCGCTGGCCCTGGCCATGGGTCGCGCGGAATATGCCTTGCCTCATGGCACCTGTCCGGGGGTGGGAGTAGCTGGGCACAGTCTGGGGGGTGGCTGGGGGTTTACCTCTCGCGAGTGGGGATGGCTAGTAGACAGATGTAAGTTGAATGCTCACTTCTAGTTCTTACGCGACGATCCGAGCTAATTTCATGGAAAGTGGTCTCACTGGAGCTTGTGGACGTGACCGGCCGCATTCGAACGATCAGCCCCAAGGCAGCAAAGTCCAATACCTCATCTACAGACGACGAGAATGATGACCTCTGGTGGGCACTTCGCGGTGCTGGCTCCAACAATTTTGGAATTGTGACGTCGTTCACCTACCGCATGGAGCCCGCTCCAACGGCCATCGTCAACTACAACATTGGCTTCGCGACTCAGTCAGACTGCGTACAGGTCCTTCTAACCCTACAAGAGATCGGTTCCCTACCGGCGACCTCCTCCGCTGGCTTTCCAACCTCCCTGGGTGGAGAACTCATCGTAGATGGTGGCTACCAGGCCCCTAAGGCCTATTGCACCTTCACTGGCCAATACCTCGGCGATTCCGCCGCCTACAACAGAACTATCGACCGCCTCCTTTCCCCACTCGCACGCCAGTCCATTCAGCCCCTCACAACCACAAGATCCTTTTACACAAACTGGGTCTCCGCTCTCACCAATCTCATGGGTGACCTCGACTCCCCGTCTGTTCCACAACCCTATTACGCCAAATCCCTCTTCGACGACGGTCACCCTTACTACACTAGCACCTCCATCGCGAATATATTTTCTGCCATCCAGCCAGCCGGGCCTGATGCCTTTATCTCCTTCGACTTGAACGGTCCAGATGCCGTCACCACCCTTCCCCCGGATGACACTGTCGGGCCCATGGCCTTCAATCATCGAAACAATCTCTTCATGTCGCAAATCTATGCTTGGGATTTCCCGGGGTTCACAAATGCGTCAGCACGGGAGACTGCGGTTGACAGGCTTTCCGACGTCGCGGATGCAGTGCGCCAGGCCGATCCTGAGGGTGGTTGGCAAGCATATCAGAATTATATCGATCCGTACTTGCAGGATTGGGCAGAGATGTATTATGGAGATGCCTTGGACCGGCTGAAGGAGATCAAGAAGAAGTGGGACCCTTTGGATATTTTGGATTTTCCACAGGGATTGGGACGTGCATGATGGGTGTATGCATATGTACGATCAGCTGAATATGCGGGTGTATGCGGTATTGTACGCGTAGATGGAACCTTGTTTGAAACGAGAGAAGAAAGATGACGACTTGGATAGACTTTTGAAGCAATAAATAGATAGACTATGAATAGACATGACGGACTCTTTTTGCAATCTTGCGTATTCTGATGAGGCGCTGGTATACCCTACTACTCTGATATAAGCACAGCTAGGTAGTAACAGACAGACAGACAGAACAATAAACCCAGAGTCATGTATAGTAACTTAAGTTACTATTGTACTACTCCGTACTTTTTCAAACATCAACTTCTGAAGGTCCCTCGAAAACATCATTCCGATATTAAGCACATATATATATATACATAGCAGTCAGTATGTGTTCCTTTCCTATGTGGGCCCTGCTTAACTCAAACATTATTTCTATGACTAGGTACGAGTCAATCGGCTACTACTAAACTAACTTTATAATATTTTTTTCTTGGTGTTGGGGGTGGGGGGGGAAGATAAGATCGCATCGTTTGATATATCATCATTTTAGACAGATTATATGTTATTATTGTACTATTATTATACATTGGATGGCCCTGATGCAGCAGAGAATTAAAATCAGATCTGGAAAGAGTGACAAAGACAGGATTATGTTATGGTGGTAACGTAATTAGTAAAGATAGTATTAGTAACAGTAACGATCCTAGGCACAACCCCGGTCCATCTATGCACATCCACACCCACATCCACACCCACCACCTACTCCGTGTTCTTCAGGTCGTTTCAAGCATGTTCAAGTCGTACAGACATTAACGAAGGGACATTAGTATGCAGGGATATCAGAAGTATAAACATCATCAGTATTAATGGTAGATGTTCAATCAAAGCCAAAGTCAACTGTGGTATCATGGTCGTATAAAAGAGAGACAAGAAAGGGGTATCGAATCCTCATCTCGCGGGAGATGGACGACTTCTCTTTCCTGTGCAGGACGTAGATGCAGACGGATGGATGCTGCGCAAGAGAGGACGTTGGCATATGTAGTCGCCGTCACACGACGAGATGGCTTTATCAGGTAGAGCCTGAAGTCTAGGCTGCGGCCAGAGGCGCGTCAGCAGGACCGCCGTGGGCGCCACCAGTGTTCTTCTCCCGGACGGGGGTGCTCTCGCGCCGGTAGGCCCAGAGGGCACCGACTTCGAGGAAAATGGCGAAGAAGGTGAAGATGAAGGTCAGGAAGATGAAAGCTTCGTTGGCCTTCTTCTTAGAGCAGGACAGGCCGGGGGGAGAGTTGAAGGCGCAGTTGTGCCAGTTGTAGTCTTGCGCGGCAAAGATGAAGGCTGTGAGCCAGCTGTGGTTATAGTCAGTAACAGCACATGGCATGGTTGATTGGATGGCACATACAGGTATGAGAAGATGACATCGATGATCAGGACAAACTTGCTTAGGGCATTGGGCATGAACGGCGAGATGAAGGCGGGCAGGAAGAAGACAACAGACATGGTCGACTAATCCATGGTTAGTATGATAAGGTTCGACTTGTTTACATCAAGGATAGGAGCATGCTTACAATGACTTCCCAGTAGATAGTGTGCTGGCCGCGAGGTCCCTTGTGGATGAAGTATGAAGTGATACCCATCACGATGACTGCACTGGCCCACTGCATGAACCGAGTAGCCAGCTGTAGTGGACGGGCCACGGTACTGGAGAACATGGCTGCGGTTGACTGGACTGAAAGTGTATAGAGATGGCAATAAAGTGAATTAGGAGAGCAACTGGTAGTTTATTGGGCGAGGCGCAAAGAGAAGCTCAGTTCCACTGACAGACTGGTTGGTCCGGCTCTGATGAATGGATACTGAAGAGGGGAGGAGAATGCCTAGGAGTGGAAGACCAGGACAAGGTTCTTTATATGTCGCCTGGCCGGCTTGAATGGATAGAACGGAAGGGTGCATGGTGGACCGGATCAACGGGGCGTATCTTTTACGTCAGAGGATGTTTGTATTATTATTATTATTATTTTTTTTTTTTTTTTTCAGGAGCTTGAGCCGAAAGTTTTCTGGCCCTGTGCAGTGGCCTTTCCAGGGAAAGCTGAGCGACGCCAACGGAAGGAGAGCCAGCTTTGGCGGGTTTTTTTGCGCTTTCCCCCAGATGCGTCATAATTTCCTCTGCATGAAGTAAGTCAGTTCCGAGGCGGACCAGTCGTTGCGTCGGGAAGGTAGTAGGGGTTGTGTGATTGCACTGACCAGATTGCCGTAGTTGTGCAGGAAGACCACATCAACAGAGGCATGCTAAGGTTGGGGACAGCATCATACTGTTCCTAGGACAAGAGGGGTGCCCAACCGAGATGGAACGCAGTGGCCATCACAGCAGCAACAACAAGCGCTACAACACAGCTGGGTCTGCATCACAGCCAGGGCGGGGATCAGGTCCGGCATGGCTAGTGTGAGGATCTGCGTGGACCATGGACTGATGGATGGAGCCAGATGGACAGAGCCGGAACGGACCAGGCAAGGGAGACGAGATGTTGTTGGTCAACTCATGATTCTTTTCCAGGTTGCGTGACTGAAAGGTGAGTGATTGATTGATTGATTGAAGAAATGAGGGCGTGAAGCCACTCAACTTCCATCGTCATGGCTTGGCGTCACGGGGGATCGCCCGGTCTGGATCTTGGCCGGATTTCCTTCGGTCTTTTTCCTTTCCTCTCTAATCTCTATACTCCATACTCCCTTTTGGCTTCATTTCTACCGTTTTCCATCATTCTTCCTACATTATTCATTCCATTCTATCAACCATTCCATTAACAGAATCATCTAGTTTTCTTCATACTGAATAACCAACTACAAGAATGTATGATTTCACCGTGACTCAGCCCTTTACTCAGCGGCGGTCATCAAGCAGCTTCCACCAGCTTCGGCACAGACCAATGGCGACCACGCCACCTCCCATCGTGCAACCCGCCGGGTTCCAGCGGGATCAATAATCAGTCAATGCACAATCCCACCTTCCCTCTTTCTCTCCTCCCTCTCTCGAGAAGCTTCGAGCTACAGCAAGACTAAATCTTCCGCCGTGCTTTGTACTTCTGCAGATCCTCGCATCCCGGAACGGTCGGCAGAATGAGATCATCCCTCCTCGGTTTCCAGCAGTCATCTGCTCCTCCCTTTCCGTGGTTATCCATCCCTCCCTCTCTTCCATTCTTTTCGACGAGATGGCTTGTTCAGAGTAGGCTTCGTGACTCAACAATGGACCTGTGATGCCGGACCCACAAGGCTGAATGAGAGCAGGAATTGGATGGCCATGAATATTGGGTCGACACCTTCCCGTCTCTTCCGGTTGATCCACTCTTTGGTATCCCGCTCTACACTCTCAACCACCACCACCACCACCACCACCACCACCACCACAGCTGTTACCCGCAGGTTTGTCTCTTGCAGCAGGGATGCCCTTTTGGTTGTTTGTTATGACATCCCGTCTGTAATGCAGGTAGGCATGTACACCGCATCCAAAGTATGCATGTGTGTTCCCCTCTTTTCCCCCTCTTCTCCTCTCCCTTTAAACTATATCCTACAGAGTAGCTATCATAGCTATCTCTCACCTCCCTGCATACAAGAGCTACCTAACCCTCCCAAACTCTCGTACCTCTCAACCCGAACTCAATAACCGAAACCTACTTTCCTTCCCCCTCCCCTCCCCTCCCCCAAAAGAAAAACCAAAGAAACACATGACACCTACTTGCCAACCTAAACTCAACCTATAATCTACCACTGCCAGCAGTCACTTACAACTGGCTGGCCAGGTTTCCCTTGCATTTTATTCCATCGTGATCAATCTTGCTTATCCGGGGATCCCAACCCTCCCATCCACCATAATCATGCTCGGACTATTTCCAGCCACGGGGACAGCTATTGAACTTTTATTCATTTAGACTTCACCCCCGCCATGGTTTTTGACTCGAATTCTTGTTCTTGTTACTCGAGCCTGTTCAAGTCCTTGCCCAAAGCTAAAAAAGTATACTTGTGTATACGCATAGATCCGGTTACGCGTTGATTTCGCGTGTTTTGAATCTGCCTATCTAGGCAAGGGGGGTCTGCTTCTCATTTTTGAGACCGCACTACCAGTCAGTTGGGCATGAAATCAGTAAAGACTATTTACTTTGTAGAGTGTGTCGAAAGTACGGTCTCTACGGAACAGGCAGGATGCTGATTAACTTCTGACAAAACTGACAAGGGTGCAGAGCTGATCATGATGATCCCTAACATGATTGGTGTTTGGTTGTCTTGTCCCGCTAAGTACTACTGTGTAGAGCGCTCGATACGGGGCGCTGCCGCTACTCATTGGTGGTCATGGGTACAAGCGAGAACTAGCACTCCTCCCATTCCACCGTATACTTAAAGTCAAAAATGAGTACGAGACTACTTTGGAATAACTTCTTCGACTTCATAAAAACCAAACAAAGTAGTTATATAAAGGACAAGTTGAACAACTCACTGGCACCGAATCTTACATAACCCGTTGCTTTCAGAGGATTGAAGCATATTCAAGCTACTGTATCATCGAGTCTCTACTATATGCTGTTTGTTTACATACCAGGCTTAGTTAATCAGGGAGTGGGTATGTGAGTAAGATCTTAAAAGGTTCCTTTATTCAATCTATACAAAGAGTTGACCTGGCCGACAACTTGAGAAAGGTACTTAATGAATGTCGGATAGTGCTAGAACACGCGACAGAGTGCAGTATCATGAACAGCCTGAGTGCATTAAGAACTGATGAGAGTTTCATCGGCCTGTTTAAAGCTGGATTATATAGTAATATTGAAGGTTGAATCATAAAATGTCAAGATGTATATGTGGGTTGCTATAAGGAAACCAGATCAAACTCAGGACTGACAATGACTAGGACTATAGAACTGACAGTTAGCATAAGAAGTCAAAGGCCGACCAGAGTGTTCCGATATTTGGATGATTAATCTGTCCCCGCGTTCGTGATATTAGCCTCGATATAGGGTGTGGGTCCGGAAATGGTAGTATCCCACAGTCCATATTAATTGATGCATAGTTAAGATTGACGGGAGTTCGGTGCATGCGGGTCTCCGGCGACTGATGTTATCATATTCTGAAAATGTTATGAATATTTCGTGCCGATCTTGAGATACATCAGAGCATCTATATGCCGTTAATATAAGTTTGGAGAAAGACAGGTATTGAAGGAGAGAACCTACAGCGTGACTCGAAGAGCATCACATTCCTTTCTAATCCAACCTGAAATCTGAGCTCCCAATTGAATCTGCTTCCTGTTTCGCCCAAGTGACCGGTTTTACCTCGATGAGAGATTAAGAAGGATTCTCATTGCCGTTGACGAGATATCCGCCCGTTCGAGCCTCATTCTTGGCAGCTTCATATTTGGCCGAGAAGGAAAAGAAAATACCCTGTGCAGCATCCAGCCACAATGTTGGTATAGGCAACTCGGTTGTAGGGGTATTCAGAAGTGCCATGAGAGCAGTATTCACTATCTGCTCATCTTTGGCGTGTGGGAATACGAGCTGCTGAAGATTCTCAGGAACTGGGCGATGGGTATCAATGACTCTTCTATCTGTAACCGAAGCATCCGATTTATATAGTATAGCAGACTTGCCATCTTCCGAATCATCGGGAGTTGTTGTTGTTGAAGACACCGGAGTGAAATCTAAAAATGTTATTATTGAAGTAGGAGTCGGCGATATTTGCTGTTGTGCATATATTAACGTGCATCCCGACTGCCTTCTGCCAAATAAAGGGCTCAGTAGGCGAAGGGAAAGAAATATACTATATATGAATATTGGATATCCTGAGAAGCCAAAAAGATACCTTGATGTCTAAGTCATCGCGGACAATAGGCACCCTTATATATCAGGGGCGTCAGTGTTGGAAGTAGAATAAAGGAATAGCTGCAGCCGCTGTGAAACTAAATTCTGCGTCACTGGCGCATTATTAACTGCCTATATTCCCTTCTGATTGGTAATTTAATAATACGATCTTGCAATGGGGCAACCGCACATGTATGGCTGTAACGATTATTGGATTGAGCCTAGCGGTGAATATTTTCTCATATGGCCACATACATGGAGTATATACCTCCCACGAACCCTCCGAGTTGGAAAGGCAAAAAATACCCTACCACCCAATATATATACTTGGTAATAAATGAACGGGTGTCGCCAAAGCACTTCTTCTTCTATTGTCGGTATATGACAAGATAAACTTGAACGTAGTTGGAATTAAGAGCTATAGAATAAACTACTAGGCAGCAATGTCTGTTTATAAATTATGGGAACGAATAGCCACTATTTAGCTGCTATCGAAACAACGGCCACAATATTTATAGTCGAAGAAATTGATGTAGGAAGGAGTGTGACTGTGACTTGTAGACAGAACAGATGTTGTCAAGCTACCTTTGAGTGTATTCATCAGCAGGCACTTAGCTTAAAATAGCAGACTACATATTGATGGAAAGACAACGAAAAGTTATCTTTAAATATATCTTACCAAATCCTAGGTTCTTGGCCTCGAACTAACTTACAGCGCTATTTGCTATTGATGGTGATGATCTACCTATATCTTTTGATGGAGACACATGGTCAATAGTGCTAATCTCTCTTCCATTTTATATGTTACTACGTCGAACCTGTGGCGTACCCAGTTTATTCATGGCCTACCCATTTATGTGATGTTAAATAATTACCAAGATCTGCATGTAATCACTTCAAGAGAGTCAGTTATTTTGAATAAGGATGTCTTGCTATATACGCCTTGCTTACTGGGGTTTCTTATGACTTCAACACCAAAGTATAGGTAAAGAGCACCCAAGGATCTATCTTGAAAGTCGGGTCATCCTACATGGAAAGAACACAAGTGAGAGGCTTGTTCGTTCGTAGACTTATGTTCAGAAGTAGTTATTTATTGCTTTGGGAGTGCCTTCAAAAGAAGTTTGTTGTAAATTTTTGCTCAAGAGAAATTGGAATATTAGACTTGAAGGGTGGAATGGATTATACTGGACAACTGATCAAAATCATCATTGTCAACCACTCATGGCCTGAGCAGTCACGTGAATATGGGCTTGGTGATTTGGCCTCTAAGAAACGAACAACCGTTTCTGGAGAGAGCACATTTCTTACGTGAGGCTGTGTGAACTTAGCCAGCGAAACTAAGTACCATCCCCGCAACTTTGTATGGTAGCGAGACACATTAGTGTGGTATAGTAGGCCGAGCCCCGAAAATTAGTTCACCTTCCCTATTTTACTAGACAAGTTGTAATCTCTTTCCCTCGGCCATGCCGTGCATGACTTGGTATAACTTATCACTATTGGTTAGTTGCTGATAATGGTCACGACCATCGCGGGGTTATGATTGTGAAAGCACACGATTGGGATATGGGACAAATATCTGTCGAGACTAATCCGCACTAGTAGGACGACAGCTGACTCGTAGTATTTCCGGACTGAGTAAAGTGCTTGAACGGTTAGTGGCTCTTAAGGTTGCACCGGGCCGTCGCGGCTTTGCCCTATC